CCAATTAAATTCCGCGTATTCAAAAATCATTAAGCGATCGAGAATTAAACGTTGGCGTGTTTTTCATGAGCGATTGAAAATGTTCACACATAATTATCGCTCGTACACCAATGGAAAGCGTTGACATTATCGTAGCCCTTTGTGTCAAATTAACATAACATTTTCAGAGCTAACAAGCGCCCTTAAAATAGTCGGTTCAGTTAAAACATATCGCCGCCGGCATCTACACCGCGTCTCGCTGTGCAACGTTCAAAATTAATATTCAGATGACCCATTTAGCTTCCAAGCTTGACATCCCTTGCCCTAGCCAAAACCTGACCGCGTGACTATGCATCAGAGAACGTGACGTGTAAACACATCCATCGGCTGCTGAAACTCAGCCGACAGCGGCTCAACGTGCAAACGAGCCTTAGGTCGACTTGAGGTTTATCTCGGATAAGGGCTTAAGAGGAAGTTCGGACGTTATGCATTTATCTTTACGAGCAACTGACGAGAAAATATGACTTCCGGCATAGACGCGCAACTTCTTTTCGGCTGATCGCTGCAAAAATCGTCAAATAGGGATTCGCGTGACAGCTAACAAAAAAACAAAAGACATCGATATACCTTCTTGAAGCGGCGTATTGAAACGCTCTTTTATTCAATATTTCATTTAATTTCCTTCCCTTTACTTAATTCTCCTTCCCCTTCCTTTCGAAGACGATGCCTATTTTTTATATTAAGTTGGAGCATTCCGATTTTTTCTTTGCTAGCTTGCTTTGTCACGCATAAGAATAGCTGAAAATACATTTGCCTTCCATTTGAAAATAACAAACTATGGCGAATAAAGTTGTGCGACAAAACGTATAATTTCATTACGTATAATTTATTATGTATAATTTCATTAAGTTGGCTGGATCATAGTTTGAGCCGCGGTAAATGAGTGAAAATTTTGTGTCGCGATTGGCGAATCGGGTTAATGTGCTTACGGTCAAAAGGATGCTCGCGCTGCTTTCAATGATTCCGGTGCGATAAATCGCATCGAAATGTATTAGCGCGCAATAAACTTTCCCAGCTAGGTATAGCTGGGAGCAACAGTTGCGCGTTGCAAAACTTTATCGAGATTCCGATGCCGATTGCGTGCAATGAGGAAATGCGACCGTGTCGGGAGGACAATCCCTCTGACGAAGTTTCCCCGGTAACGTGATGATCTCTAAACTCAGCGATCCCATTCGCGTTACCGCGAGCGACATACGAGTATATATCAACGTATAGCCGACGTGTACTTTAACACGCGCTCGTTCCGAAATATACTTGCGCGACAATATTCTTGTGTATGTGAGATATATTCGTCAGACCTGACAAATATTTTCAGAACGTTTTCTATAAGCAAATACCGCTCAAAATCCGACAACATGCTACGCGAGGCTGACGAGTAAAGTAATTTTATACTTCCAAAATATAGCATCAATACAAAATTTGTTGCAGATGAATATCATTTTTCCTGTAAAAATGTGCTCTCTTTCTCTCTCTCTCTCTCTCCCCCCTCCTCTCTTTCTCTCTTTCATTCTCCACTCTACTTCCCGCAATAACTTTAATCCAGCGACTCTAACTACCTTTTTAATGCGATTGAAGAAAATTATTTCCGATAAAAAGCCAATTATGTAAATTCACCTTATTTATCATTTCGTTCTCACATATTAACTCTTTCGTGCTACCCAAGAATGTCATTAAATTTAATGTACGAACATATATTAAACTGAGCTCATGTGAACTTTGCATCCGAATGGATTGGATTCCCCGATAAATATTGCATAAGCGTTTAATTTATCGTATGCGTTATACATCACGAAAAATATAACTCTCAAACTATAATCAATATATCATTGCTGATATCAAATGCAATTATATTTTGCATGAAACATGCTACATAAAATATAAAACAAATAATACCCCTCTCGTATTAATTTCTGCTGAAATAATAACAAAAAATACCAGCCACGCCACATTTCCCAGAAAACACCCTTTTTTAGTGGTGAACGCAATTTCGTATTTCCAACAGCGTATGGAACTAACGCACGCGACGACTTTCATTTATCTGCAACCTGCCTTTTTTACTCTCGCACATTTTTTCAGCGGTGAATAATGCATTTTTTCGGCACGGTCACCAATACGACTCGCACGGTGAGCCTCGTTGACACGCGAGTGGTAGTAACATCGTTACAGTAGCGTTCAGCCTTTTGAAGGATGGTAGCACACTCTTGCGTGTCATCTAATCAGAATGACTTAATCAAACTGTCGGAATTCGCAAGTGCATTGCGACCACAACGCGCGCGCGCGCGGACAGCTGCTTCGCTCGGGCAACTACAACGCGAAGTTTCCGAACTCGTTTATATGTATATACGCGTAGAGAAGGAGAGAGAACGTAACCGAGTTCCGATTTCTCAATAAGAATTCTCAATAAAAATACGCTGAGGTCAGCGGGAATCTTGAAAAAATATCCCGTTTATAAAACCGCCAGACTATGCATCAATTTGGATGATGCGATCGTGGATGATACGTGCGCGACAATGACGAAGCGTCAAACGGTGCGGCTAGTTGTTCGCTGAGTAAGAAGAACGATAAACTCGGTAGAGCACAGAAAACTGACTCAATCTTCGTACGTAAAAGACGCCTTTTCCGATCCACAAAAGCGACGCTCCATCGAGGACTGTTATAGCCATCGCACTTCTGCTTTAATATTTCATCCACACATCATGCGAAAAAGAAGAAGCCGAATTTGCGCGAGCTTTTGTGAATTTAAGAATGGGATAATCGAGTGACGGACTTCCATACAGCGGACACTGTGTCAAAGAGCTTTAGTGATTTTTGTCCATCGAATTTTGTTCAATCAAATTTGAACGAACGACTTTACAATCAAATCTCCGACAAAGAAATCCTATTTTAAAAGCGCGTATAAATAGAAAATTTAAATCTACGAGGAGGGATAGCGCGCGTTTGCTCGGGATTTCTTCATATTTATCACTTTGTGTGCTTGCACAAAAATCCGTAGATGGAACAAAGAGCCGTATTTCCGGTGCACTCAGTGCAAAAAGTACTCCGCGCTGCGATGTCTGTCGTAAATCCTTTAATGATTTACCTACGTCATAAATCGCCCGTTATTTGTCACCTCTGACGTCGATGGTTTTTCGAAATCACCGAAACAACTCACCGATCGGGCGCGCGTGTCCTCAATTTGCAAAATCGAATAATCGAAGTGCGTAGAAAATGATTTATCATAATGCACGCTCGCTGTTCATAATCGCGCTTTATTGCATTGCTGACTAAACCGAAATTCGGACGCGGGGGCGTGGCATAAAGGCACGTCCGCTTTTACACATCGGATAGCCCCATTGAATTGCAAATGCTTTTTTCGCCAGCGTGTCATCTATTTTTTTTTCTCTCCCTCTCCCCGATCATTTCGACGTATCTACGCGTACACCGTTCGTGACGCGATGATAGATCGATAGAACAATCTGTCGGCTAAAGTCATTATAAATTTCGATACCCAAGCGCTTTGCGCTCATCCATCATTATTATTCATCCTGAATAAACTGTTTATTTTTATTCGCGCAAATCGAAAACAGAATTAGTTGCTATGCTTACATGTTTCCCGATTTTTTTCGACTCTACTCCCAAATCGGAATTTCGATCCTACATACAATTAATCCAGCAAATATCGTCGAGCTTAAAGGATTAATGGAAAATTTTGGAATATTATGCATTATTGTTTTACCTTGATGCTAGTAAATGGTTACTCACTAGCGTTTTCTCCATCTTGAGACTTAAAAAATTTATTAAAAAATTATTCAATATGAGGCTAACTCAATTTTCTATCTGTGATCCATTTTTAATTTTAATCAGCAATATAATTTATTATAACATTTATATATTTATTAATTTCTGATACAAAAGAAATTAATAACTATAATTATTAGTTATATTTATGAGCACAATGTATTAATTAGCTTGTAGATAAACAAATGTAGATAAGCAAATATTAAGCAAATTAAATTTTGACTTGAGTATACGTATTAAGTCAGTCGCGTAATGTACATTTGCCGTAACTATCCCATCTTTCTGTCACGAAAAGAGAATGTAAAATTCTCGAATCGATAAAATTGGAAACTATCATTCGCCGCGGACAAGTAAAGTAAGAGCCAAGGAAGCAAATTTTCCAGCGCTCAAGAAAATTCTGGGGGCGCCAGGGATGCGCAGAGGTTCTTTGACAATCATCGACTTGTAAGAAATACGGTTCGTCGGAGACACCGTGTATGCGCGCAGAATCTAGATGCGGCAGACAACTTTCCGAAATGCGGAAACCGCAACCGCACACCGGGAAAGCAGCTAACTGCTATAAAAGCTCAGAAGCATTCAATCTCACCAGTAGTTCGCCGAGACGACGACAGTTCCTCGGCGAAAGTAATCCATCCGTTCCGTGGGTGTAACATAAAAAGTGACTACTAACAATTTTGCGTACTGTTACTCAAGTTTAATGCATTCCCGCGAATGTGTGTTACGCTCGCGGAAGCGAACGGTGCGCTTTATTTCGCTCCCGACGTACTCTATCAACGAGATTAAAACGCGAAATAATATCTAAGTACTGCGCGGCGATAAAAATGCGCCGCGCGAGCGGATTCCCGCGATTGCATCGGGTCCGACACGATCGTCCGTAAGAAAAAACCGGATTTAAATGACTTCTCTCGCATAAATCTCAGCATGATATTAATTTTGCCCGAGAATTTTCTCCAGCGAGCCGTGAATTTTTATATTTGTAAACCGTCATCCGAGTAATGTGCGGTCGCTGCACAGTGCACATACACACAGAGACACCAATTCACGTTTCCCGGAGTACCCTAAATGTTTTAAACCAGCAGCGAGTGTTGACGCCCCGCTGGAGATGTATCTCGCGACCGGGCTACTCTCGCTCCACCACAAAGTTGTAAGTGGCTCTTTCCCAGGCGTCGTAACTTCCGACTTACCTTCCACGAAGAGAAAGTATCCCTCGGGATTCTTCGCCAGTATCTGAAGCGCCTTAATCGTCATCTCGGCCAGAGAGGGATCGCCGGTGCCGTTTGTGTTCCGGTCAACGTCGAAATCCATGTGAGAATAGGCGAAGAGGCCTGCGACAAGGAAAGTAAGTTCCGCCAATAATTGGATCGCGTTACATGAAAAACAAGTCCGTGGAGCAAAGGTGGGACGCGAGAAACAGGCACACACACACAAGCGGATGGGGATCAAGACACCGTGAAATCGAAAAAACAGGATATGAGAAACGAGGAACAAACGAAGAAAGAATCGCGAAGCTCGTTAAATCTGGCTCGGACCAAAAAAAAAAGAAAATCGACGGACCAAAACGTTTCCGAGACGGATCCGCACTGTTTTGTTATTATTTTTTCGTAATTATCATTTTAACGTCTATTAATGATATATGTATTTTGTATAATGTGCACTCTGAGAAAAAATACTTGAAAAATTATATCTACATTAAATATATAAGATATATAAAATAAATATTATATTATTAATATTATATTATATTATAAATATTATAAATATTATTATATTACAAATATTATATTATAAACAAATATTATTATAAATAATTGCATGTATGCGTGAATGTATATACCATGCATGTGACATATATGAAATTTATTCACAAAAGTAAGCTTTACTTTGCAGAAATGGATTTTATATCCTGCAAATAAATTTTCAAGTATTTCCTATCGGTGTGTATGTTATCTCTGTCTATCTTTTGTTTCTTATATCGTATTTCTATATTCATATCTACTTCGAGCGCGAGAGAGCGCATTTTGCGACTGCATCGTTACGTTTGCCGCAAACCATTATCGCTCGTTGGTGATAATCGATCGCGGTCAACAAACTGATAACTCAGAATTTCACTCCACTGATCAGCAATTAATGCTCTATCTTATTAGCTGGCTAGAGGATGGAATCAACAGTGGCGATCGATAGACACGATGTAATCTCATATTCCGAACGCTGAATGTCTAATAATTAATACGCTGATTACGGGACTAACAGCGGCGCGCAATTAATACGACAGAACGACCAATCGCATTACGCATAAATCTCGAATGCGAAAGGCCATTGAAATTAAATTCTTGTAAACCATTGTAATGCCCCCCGCGTATTCAACTATAAATTTAAATGGACTATCCGGCACGTGCATTTTTTTATACGTGAATTAAGCCATTATTCAGGAATCGCATTTAAATAATCGTTACTCGCTGGTTTAATGTTAAAATAATCATCGAGCGTTATCACGATCTATCAGATTTCAATACGATTTTTTTTAACAACGCGGCAAAATGAATAATAATAATAGACGAATTCGACAAAGCGACGAATATTACAAGATTTTGGCCCATAAAATCGACAAATTTGATGTTTGTGAATTTTTTAATTCAATTTGTGTCGAAATTTTCGATATGAAATACCGTTCTAGAGCGCAAGCACGCGCGTAGATAGAATTTCGAGTCTCTGCACAATTTGTTCGAATTATCCTATTGCCAATACATGGGAATATATTGTTGTCGTGATAAAAATTTAACAAAATCGAGCTTTGTAGAGTGTAATTGCAGCGGACATTTATGCACGACACGTGGCGGAGCAACAAACGGAGGAGAACACGACTCGTTCTGTACGGATTATGTGGTACGCGCGGTAGTATCGTGTAATTAACCGGCGAATCATAAGTCCGTGTACACAGAATACGCTAACGGTACACGCTATCAGCGTGATTGGCTAATCACGCATATGTAACTTTGTTAGGATGTCCTGAATAGGAATTTCAGTGTGTTTACAAGACGAGGGGACGAAGGGGAGCGCGATAATGTATAGATCTCGTGTGGCAACACGTCGATAGCTCCGTATCCTCGATACGCCATCCCTATTACGCATTAATAGGCGAGACACGGCAAGATGTCACAATATATTTGCTTAATTACCTACCTAAAAGACGTTCCACTTTCCGCGGATCCACGTTATCGAACTGCTGCTTGTTCGCGACGTATCGTGCAGATATCTTTTGTAGACGATGATTCCTGGACCATTCCTCGATCAGATTTCGACCGTCCAGTCGTCTGCCCTCTTTGTCCGGCTCTTCGGGGTCCAGAGTCACCTTCGGCACAAAGTGACGTCTGCCGCCACCGAGCACCACCTGCGCCGACCGCAGGTCTTTGCAATTCAAGCGCGAACGTCGAGCATCGTTATCTATGGAAAGGTGCTTCTCGCCGGCAGATTTGCGTATCGCAACTTCCCTTATTCGAGAACTAGTCTCGACTTTTAATTGCAACAGGAAGCCGCACGAAATGAATTTTATCGCAAGCAAGAGCGAACGTTGTGTTCGCCGCTGAGATTTCTCGTAGACTCGACAGTGCGACGTTTGTTTCTTAATTCGCACCTCTTTTTTCGTGTAACAAAGCTCGGCACAATGTAAGTCGCAGTGTTATATTACGTCATGAGCACATCTCTGTGACGCATTAGAACCATGACACATCGATTATTATACTCTTACATTTTTGAGAGAGAACATATTAACGATTTAAATTTTTTTTTCTTGATTCTGCACGTGATCGATAGCATCCACAATTTGAGGGAGAGAGAAAGAGAGAGAGATCAATATGCAATTAAGCTGAGGGACCGCTGTACTTCGTGAATTTTCATGCACGCAGCGAACAAATTTGCCCGCGTTCGTTGAATCGGAAAATTTGAATTTATCAAAGAGGCCGCACTCGTCGACCTCCGAATTCACCTATCCGTAACGCCCTGACGAGACACGCGAGGTCAACTTTAATGAGAAAGAAAGTTTTACTCCAACTTTCCCGGAAAGTGCCGCGCGCCCATAAAATCGCCTGCAGAGACTTCTTGCCACGGACCGTGGCAAGAAGTCTTTTTTTTCTCTTTTCCAAAACGGAAAAATAATATTACGAGTTATTCCGTAATGGTCGCTAATTAACTTCCTTCGCGCTCAGTTTCTGCATCGTGCTATGTCTTTTCTTCGCTCCCGAAAACACTGAGAAAAAAATGTTTTTGTATGTGACATTTGTAACTATAAACTTATAGAGAAATAATCATTATAAATTACGGTCAAGAGAAGCATTTTTTTAATTAAGTTCTACTATAATGCTAGCGGTGATAACCTTATATGCATATTAATATTACCATCTTGCTGCAAAGAAAATAGTTGAGTCCAAAAATAACTGCAATTTTAGTCAGATCAACCATTTTTTTCTGTCAGTAAAAAATGTCTGTCGAAAAAGCTGTTTATAAAAAAAAAAAGAAGAGAAAAATCGGACGCTTCTGCCGAATGAATAATACCTCGATCCTGAAAGAGTTAAAGCCGCGCACCAGTGTGCGCGCCCATAGCTGCGACAGTTCATTCTCCCTTTCGTTTTGATGGCCCGACCGGAACGGGCGTTGCAGGACAAGCGTCGCGCGATAAAAGGCGTGAATAGGCTGCGACGTGCATGTTTTATGTCTATCGATATAAGATAGAAGGCGCAATGAAACGCGATAAAGGAGACGAACGAGCCGCGATACAGGCTTCACGTCCACTCGTGCGCGGAGGGAGTATCATAACCGCAAAAACCTATACGTCATCTGGGGCGCAGGGCTTCGCATATCGGACAGGTTTTACACATTCACCACGACCGTCGCTTCGCAACTCTCGACTTTCCGTGCGCGGCGAAAGGTCTGAGCTTTTTATTTGGAAATTTTATTAGAAACAGAGAGACGCGCGCATCTGCTTCCAAACGCGAACGCGTTCGTTCGCAAATAACTGTCACTCGACAGCGCTGCGGGAGATTCATCAGCCAAAGTTTTGTCACGCGCAACTTTTGCACGAGCGAAAGGCTCCCGCGACGGAAGTGATATCAACTGAGCGCGACGCTGTGCAAAATGCCGCGGACGCTCGCGGTTATTAATTATTAGCACGGAAAAAGGTCCCATAATACAGCGATTATAAAAAGCCCGTAACGCGCGCGTCCCGACGCAGTGATTTACGGCACGCGAGTGCTAAATCAAAATGAAACACCGTACCGAACTCTCTCGCCTCTTCTCGCCTCCCGAAATATCGAGGTGCCTTAAAGTGTGCCCGTTTGAAATATAGTTATCGATCGTGCGTAAAGTACAAGAAGCACCATATATTTCAGCGGCGTACGGACGCGCTCGGGGATATTATTACGTACATTGATGTTACGGCCGGGCTGTTCCTCGAGCAGCTGACGCGCGATGTCTTTGCAAGAGGTACGTGCAGCAGGTGGCACCTTGCCGTCGTCCTCCCAGTAACGGCTGGCTGCGTGTGCATAAAGAGCCGCCGGTGTCGCGTGTGTAACCCTGGTGGTTGTAACCAGTCCCGTCGATTTGCCTGCGAGAAAAATCGAATTATTGTCTCAACGCACTGAATCTCTTCTCTTTCTGCCTCACTCTTCATCCCTCTCATTCTCTCTCTTACATCCACTCTTTCTCCATCTCCTCCTCCACCTACTCCTCCTCTTCCTCCGCCCCTCTCTCTCTCTCTCTCTCTCTCTCTCTCTCTCTCTCTCTCTCTCTCTTTGTTCTCCACTGGCAAAGTTCCTGGCGTGTACGTGCTTTCGTAAATCACCCCTTCGGATCCTCGCGGTCGTTCGTATCCGCGTCCGACTTTATCGCGTTTAAGCGGGCAAGCGTGCACTGCCACTGATGTAGACCCGGAAGACAAATTCCCCGGGTAGCGACCCCTGAGCGAATCAGCACGATTTATACTTCATTGGGGGCAAAGTGGATTTTGGAATGTCGAAGTGAGCCGAAATGAGCTCTCTCTCTAGCCTAGAGCCGAGCGTACGGGGTTTATTACCGAGAGAAGTCGGCCGATGTATTATTCAGGGGATCTCGAGACGATTGTATTGTACTTAACGCGCCGTGCGATCGTCGTGGATTACGCTCTGAGTTACTCGTTCTCGAATATAAATTCTGTATAGAGCCCTGAATCTTTCGAGATCCCGCGCAAGTGATGTGCTTTCCACGGAGGGCACGATATACTGACACAATTGTATATTTACAGAGTATCTCTCTATTTAAAATCACTTTGATAATGTCACCGCGAACTTTACACGATAAAAAATAAACCTTTGGAAACATACGAGTTAACGTTTTTGTCTAACGTAAATTAAAGCTTTTAATTTACAATGGTATTTCCGAAACGTAATTTTTTCCAAGACTTAAATCAAAATCGCATCTCATCCAATAGAATAATTCTATTTTCGACCAATAGAAGAATTATTTCCGATGATTCTTCGCGTTCCCAAAGCAATTCTTCAACTTCAATTGATTATTTGAAACACATACGTGAATTGGCGAAGCAGTTCACGCATAGTGGGTAGAGGTTCCATTCAGTGTTTGAGCGCTGAGCATAGTCGAAGAATCGGAGCGCAGGTGCAGCGTCCGATTCGTGAGATCGCATTTTGATTACACAAGCGTTCGCAATAATCTTGGCAGCTGACTCGGGGGATTTCACTTAGCGCGAACGGGCTAAGGAATTAAGTTGGCACGCAGGGCTTGTACAACGTGTACGCTCCAGCGGGGGTCAGTAATTACGGAAGTGGCTCTAGCATGGGCGGTTCGATGCTAATCGGCCCGAGTGTGTCGATGCATAGTCATTCATTAGTGATCCGCCGTGGGGATCACCTTTGATCTCGATATCTCGACTGAGAATCATCAATGGATGGTCGCGCTTATTAATTCGCGACGTTACTTCTCGACTTGCCAGATCCCGAAATTATTATTGATATTCTTCGCGAAGCGACCTGCTGGATACCAATAGGGAGCTGTAACGTCACATACAGTCTTAATATAATAACCCCAGTTTAGAAACTGCTAATACGTAAAGCGTGCTCTGTGAGACAATATGAAAATAATGATACAGAGAGAGCAGCTGTCCACGCGACCGATCTATCAACTCTTCTACAGTCATTAGATTTTTCAAAGAAACCAAGAACTTATCCCGCCGCGTAATGAAGGTTGGATAGAAAGTGTAATTGCGAAAATATTTAAGTTGCCGAGAAGTTGTTTAATTATAATCACATCTTGTATTGAAAGTTAGAGTATTTCGGCAAGATAAGCTTCCGGTAATAGCGTAAGGATACTGCGAAACTTTGTTCTCTCCCCCCGTTAACTTCGAGTGACTTTGCTTTAATAGGAATTTAATTTGAGGCTTACCTGCCAAAAGGCATACGAAGTTTCAAATTAAAAAGTTGCGTAAACAGACGATCGTCGGGACACATGGTCGCCGAGAGATACGTGGGGGGGG